ATGGGAGATGTCAAACTATCTACTAATAGACGATTACATTACAGGTGTTCGCATGTGTGTTAATGTTTTCTCCCACACCCACACTGACCAGATGCGACTGTAGGTGTTTCCGTATGTATTCGTGTTTTCACCTTCACCCATACTCATGAGATGTGGCGGTGAGTATCCATGTATGCTTGTGTTTCCTCCCTTATCGTCGCTGTAGAGATGTGTTTAGAGATGCCAAATCTTCTGGAGAGATGTGCTTGGAGATGTGGCATCTTCTGCAAGAGATGGGTCTTCCGCTGGGATCTCGGGCTAAAAATAAAATAAAACGTTTTCATCCGCAGATGCGGTATCGTCTGGAGAGATGCCATATCTTCAAGCACTTCACCCCACGAGATTCGGCATCTCTAAAGAGACTCGGTATCTAAAGGAGATACAACATCTCCTGCATCTCCCTGCACTTCTTCAGCATCTTCTGTTTCCTGGGTATGTGGTACTACTTCGTAGTCAGTGAACCATTAAAAGGTAAGCTATCCTACGGAAACTATCTCTCGAAAACGATAATTTCTGTTGACTCTTGATCCATCTATGTAGTTTTGAGGAAAATGAGGTTCGGTTTTGGGTTCCTCTCTCTAAAAAACAATATTTCAATATGATAGAACATCAAACAATCGCTTCTCCAACTGAGAAATGTGATTTTAATTTTCTATCAATCATACCACGGACAAATCGATCAAAAATATCCATTCTTCAAGTTGTCCTTTTGGGATTGAGAATGACTTTATGTCACTGTTTAACAATGTGTAGCATAGAAATATGCTTTTACTTATATCTATACAAAATAAATAGTAAAATATAGAGAAGAGACTTGGCACGAATGGTATTACATTTAAAGTCCAGTAGTTCAGTGAGTTGAAATAGCAAACTGAAACTGAAACCCAAACACAATACCCACACTAAACCCAAACCCAAACTCAAACTCAAACCCAAACCCAAACTCATATACCCAAACCCAAACCCAAACCCAAACTCAATACCCAAACCCAAACCCAAACCCAAACTCAAATACCCAAACCCAAACCCAAACCCAAACTCAATACCCAAACTCACCAAACCCAAACCGTTTGGGTTTGGTGCATGCCTAATGGTGATATTCTCTTGTTAGCAACAATAATTATTATTTGTAGATAAAATATAGATCTATGAAATCTATCGTTAGACATCACTTCCTATATAAAAATATGACTTTTCTTCTTCGATCTTGGTTATAATTAAACACGAATCTGAGATATTGAAATTGAAAAAAACTATTTTCGATAAATCTAAGATAAAATAATATTTTTAAAAAAATGTGAATTTAGATGCTCGTGATGTAATGCGTATTTGTTTAAAATATGGTATTGATCCAAATGTCGGTGGTATTAATCCAAATAGTAGTCGACGTATATCATCACATAGTCATAGTCAAAGTGAAATAAATAATGATTTACCTCGTGCATCACCTTCTCGTAATGGTAGATTAGATTATAATAATTATTATACAACTGAACGTTTATTTACATTACCACCATTATTTTTGGCTGCTCAACGTAATAATCATTATGCTTGTTTACTTTTACTTAAATATGGTGGAAATGTAAATATACGTGATGAACAAAATTCAAGTCCATTACATATAGCTGCACGTTTACAACATAATGTATCTGAAATATTAATATATAATCATGCATCAATAACAATAGAAAATAAATATGGTGATACACCATTATTATTATGGCCAATTATAAAACAAATTCAAACAAGATTTGTTGATAGAGAATTTCGTAAATTATGTCGTAAATGTTCATCAAATTCCAAACGTTATCGTTTTTTAACACGTGATAATGATCAATATGAAAGAGGAATATCATTAATTAATAATAATAATTCAATAAATAATGGTTTAGGAACAGGAAATGGTTTTAAAAATTTCAAACGTGTTTTTCGTCATAGTGGAACTGATTCATATGATTCAAAATCATTTAAAAAAAGTTTTTCATCACAAGGTTCAATTGGAAAATCTCGACGTATTATTACAAATAATAGTCAACATAATATACAACCTAATTCAATAATTAGAACTGATTCAAGACAAATTTCCGAAGAACATGATCATTTAGATTTTACATATTTTAATAAACATTCACATATTAAACGAAAAGTAAGTTTATTTTGTTTTTTTTTATCAATATTTTACATATCGATTTTATTTTTCAAATTAAATCACTAATTATTAATAAAAGATTTTATTTAAGATAAATATAATATTAACAAAATTTTTCATATTTTATATTTTTAAACAAAACTCGAATAATTAAAATATTTGTTATTAAATCGTTTGAAATAATTATCTCAAAAATAATATTCAATAGATTTATTTTAAATATCATTAATTAATAAATCATTTATTTATCTTTTTTATTATCAATTTATTTAACATAATAACAAATAGAAATATTTATAGAATCACATTTTTAATTTCATTTTTCTTTTCTTCACTTACAAATAGA